TTTTTTTTGTTTCTTCACGTTTCATAGGATATCTGAATAGTTTTCTAAATCCATTTTTATATGCATTATGTAATGAAAATTTTAAACATGCATTTAAAAAAATGTTAGGACGTTTACAACAACCACAACATATTAGCTATAATTTTGATCAAACATTAATGGCTGGTAATCAAAACAATCATCAACAACAACAACAACTACAACGACAACAATCGACAAGAGGTTGTGCAAATACAAATAGCTTACGGTTAATTACAACACAACAATAACAACAACAACAACCGGGACAACAACAACAACAACATAGATGATGAAAAATCATTTTTTTAATGTGATTAAAGCCTGATATTTGTCATTCATTCATTCATTCATTTTGTAAAAAGAATTTCCATGTAAAACATTCTTGTTTTTTTTCTGTTGTAAATATTGTTTATTTTGTTTTGAGAATGAAAATTTTTTTTTACAAAACAAAAACACCAAAAACACAAAAATCCATATCATTATGCTGTTTTAATATTTTGTGGTTTTCTCTGTGTCTCTTTTTACATGTTAATTTGAATTTGATATCTTTATTTATTTTTTTGGAGTTTAAAATGAAAGAAAAATGGTAATTTTTGTTTGTCGAAAAATTCAATATTCAGTTTAAATCACTGAAAACATTGCAAACCCTTATTTTATGTTTGTTTGTTTGTTTTGTTTGTTGATAGAAATCCAAAATAAAGAAATTTGTATTACGAAATTCCCTCTCTGTGTGTGTGTGTGTTTGTGTGTAACCAATTTTCAATATATAAACCAAATCAATGTAGTGAGAAGAAAGAAAGAAAGAAAAAAAAAACAAAATTAAAAATCAAATAACTCTTTGAAATGTAAAACAGAAAAAAAAGGAAATTCAATTTTCCTGGGAATTTGCGTTGTTTTTTTTCCTTCTCTCCATTTTCATCTTTAAAATAACCGTCATTCATGGATGAATTCAATTGTGAATATGTGTTGAAAACCCGGACGAATATTATGTCAAATTTTATCGTTAAAAAAAATGACAATTTTCATTTTATTATTGTTTTTTT